ATAGAGAACCCACACAGATTCACAATAATGCTAGAACCATACCAGATCCAAACTAGAACCCATAAAGAACCTACACAGATCCACAATAATGCTAGAACCCTACCAGATCCAAACCAGAACCATAATAATGCTGGAATCCTACCAGATCCAAACCAAAACCATAAAGAACCCACAAAGATCCATAACAGCGCTAGACCCCTACCAGATCCAAACATAACCCTGACAGATATACATAAATGTCCACATTAATTCATTTCATCATGTTATCAACAGACAGATACAGTATCAGAAAAACACAGTCATTTATACTATCTTTTAAAAGACTTTAGAAAATAAATGATTCCTTGAATATCTAAGTTTTTTAATCTAACATTTTAATTAATTTTATTTATTATTATTTGTGCAAATACAACTAGAAGCTTGCAATTTCACATTTAAAAATAAACTGTGAATGAACCATTTTTATTTTCTGTTAATTTGTTAATTCTGTGAATCAACAAACTTTAAAAAAATTCAAAATTCACTTAAATGTATACTTAAGAGTCACTACAAAGATCTGAAAATAAAAACTGCATTATCACTGATAGACACACCTTTTTTAAGTTCTCAAACTTACAAAAGGGTAAATAAAAACACTTCTATTGGCCAGAAGGCACAATTATAGGCCTGTGCTGATAATCTTAAAGTGGTCCAATACTTGCCTAGCTAATTAAATAAAATAAGTTTGCAAACATCAATTATTCAATTTGTACAGCACATGCTGTTCCAAAGCAGCTTATAAAGAAAAGTGGCTTTACAAAACCCTCAGAGATCAAGCCAATCAATCAATCTCCTAAGAGGGAATTTCTAATCAGTCGCCGCTATAATTGCTCTTTCCCCCTCTAAATCTAAACTCTCAGAGTCGAGTCTCCAGAAGCAGTACTAACCTTTGAAAAGCAGCAGTCTCAAAACTCACCGCACTGACATTTTCCAAAACAAACTGCTCTGCGGAGGCCTATAGCCGCTCTGACATTCTGTGTGTGTGTGTGTGGGCCATATGGTGCTCTATAGCACTCTGAAGAAGGTGACGAGCAGTTTAAATGCTGTCAGACACACTCCCGCACCCCTGAGCGCTTCCACAGGGATTGCGACCGCACACGCGTGGAGTTTCTGAACCGCAACACGAGAAGGTGACACACCTGGGAGAATCACACAGCGAAGGCTTTGCATGAAAACTCATAAGTTTGACCTCTGACCCTTTTAATGCTCCTGTGAGATAAACCTGCCCCCTCGGTGAGCATTTCACCTCTGCGCTCTCCCCTTCCATTCACACAGGTAACACGGCCTATTTCTAGCATCCAAATGCCATTATAACCATCATATCTGACAAATTTCATGTCATGACTTTAAAAAATGTTGGTGTTTTTTGCATTTATACTCTGCAGACTTTTCTTCTATTGGCCTAAATGATGAACATTTACTCAATGAGATGTTATGACTATACCTACTACATGATGTGATTTTACTCAAAATCTATTATTGGCATTTTTTGAATATGGATGTTTACAATGTGTTTGTTGCATGGTGTTTTTTATGATTTAGATGTAATGGCATATGTTTTTGTAATGTAAATCTATTTATGTTTTTGTTGAACCTGTAAAATCTTAAGTAGTGTTACTGTTCATTTAACGTGTAGAATTATGTTTGTGTTTTTTATTACTTGTAACAGGTTTTTGAACATTTTGTTTCTATATTGGCTGTGTGGTTGAAAGAGTAATATGATGATATTCTTTAATTTTTATACAATTTATTTTTTCACCTTAAGTCCGAAATTTTAATAAAACTGTGTGTGTGTGTTTGTTTGTTTGTTTGTTTGTTTGTGTGTGTGTGTGTGTGTGTATAAAGCTAATTAAACTATATAAAGCTTAAGTAATAATAATATAATAAAAAAAATTAATGAAAAATGTAAAAAAAAACAAACAAATGAGAATTAGAAACTGAAATAAGTTAAATTTAAGGTGAAAAATTAAATTAAAATTAAATAAAATTCAAACTAAACAGGAATATAAAATCTATATAATATATATATAAAATATCTATATATTCCTATATAAGGAATTATATATATATATATATATATATATATATATATATATATATATATATATATATATATATATATGTGTCTCCCTCGAGCACAAAACTAAACAGGAATATAAAATCTATATAATATATATATAAAATATCTATATATTCCTATATAAGAAATTATATATATATATATATATATATATATATTATGATAATATTAAAATAACACTGAAAAAAATGGTGTAGGGTTTATGATTAAAAAAAAGAGCAATTGTCATTAAGAAATTCCTAGTAAATTTCACAAATAATTACAAAGAAACGGCAAGTAGCACACTGGAATGAAGTGCAAAAAGAAAGAGTGTATAGTATATAAAGAGTATATACTGAAATAGTATTTTCTTGAACATACTCCAATTACATTTTTTATAAAAAAAATAAATAAATTTTACTGGCTGCTTCTAGCATAGCACGTCACTTGATTTCAGATGTAATTCATGTCTATAGCTCAAATGGTATTGGATGAGGTACGTATTGCATTAAATACAGAAGGATAAGCGTTTATTCAAATGACTGACTGCTTCTAAACACAATAACAGTAATGTTGCCTCAACCTGCAACATCAACGAATCATTACACCAGGAGTAAGTCAATAATAACTATTCTTGTTCACAAACTTGAAGGACACACAATTGTTTGCATTACAATGTACAGCTGAAACTGAAACTAAACAATATGGCATTGACATCATTTGTTACAAGTGACTAGCATTGCATTCCAGCCATTCATGCATCCTTAGAGATTCAAACCCATGACCTTGGTGTTGCTAGCATCATGCTCATTGGCATACCGTCACGGTAATTTAATCTAAAAAGCAGCAGTGAGACTCATCACATGCTTCCTACTGCAAGAAGTAGTTATTTGATATCTTTTTTGATGCTAATTATTAAAATGTCTCCATAAGAACATGGAATATGACTCATGGAAGCACGTGGACCACTGAAAGTCATTGTCAGGTGAGACTAAATGATGGAGGAACATTATCAAGCATCCAGTACATTATTATAGATCATTATGTGCACATATAGATTATATAAAATTCCTAGCCTTCGTGCATTCATGGAGACTGATCTTAAATGAGTAGGTTCCAAATACTGATCTGAGACTAGGCCTGCTGTGTCTTAAATATAGTTTTATTTAAGAAGACGCAGGGTAAACCACCTCTGGTTCAACACATATTCTATGATTAAAAGGAAAGACGGTTTACATATCCCTTGATTACATATTACAGGATCAAAGATGCTTCAGGATGAGGTATGAGGAAATCTACCAGAGCTCAGTAACACACAGACAATGTTTTATGAATCAAAGAACATAGAAATCTGCTGTACAATGAAGTATATTTAGGCTCCCCAGAAGACTCCTCATTAAATAATAAAAGCGAATCAGTTTAAGTGTCATTTGAGCTCCTAAAACAGTGTTTGACTTCAGGAAGAAGCTGTTGACTGACATGGAAACAGAACAGTGCTAGTCATAGTGTGATGAAGCCCACCTAATGATTACTGTGACGTCTTATCACTATCAGAAATCCAGCATCATGTTCACCAAGTGTCAAGAGCCAGTTCTCATTTTCTGCTCAAATTCATTTTTTCGTGGAGGAAACTGACCTTTAAAATGTGACCCATATCAAAAATGGTGGTCTAAACAAAAGACAGATTATATCTCAATATGCTGAGTTTAAATCATATTAAACCATAAATCGTATTTTGAATTGAAACTTACAGTACTATTTAAATCCGTATAATGCCAGTATTTAAAAAAATGAATGAATAACATATATTTAATGAAAGTCATTTTCGATAAAACTGATTAAAAACAACTGATAAAATGTAAAAATAAAGAAAAATATATAAAAAAAACATATTATATATTTAAATTAAATGTAATATCCAGAATATCACTATTATGAAATCCTACTTTATCATCTTCTAACTCAATATTGTAATAAATGTCTAATAAACATGAAAAAAATGTTACAAACAAAATTATTTTAAAATATATTACAATAGATTTATAATAGAATCTATCTATCTATCTATCTATCTATCTATCTATCTATCTATCTATCTATCTATCTATCTTTAAAAATGTATAATATATTTTAATGCAATTTAAGTTGCTTTCAATAAACCAACTAGATGCACAATGCATATTTATAAATTGAAATAACAAATTTAATTAAATTAAATTTTAATAATGAAGCATATTAAAACTTAATATCCAGAAGATAAGAAAATCATATTTCAAAATGGTCTAGCCCAGTATTGAAATATATGCAAAAAAAAAACGATCGCTATATAGATTTATATATCAAAACAAATGTTAGTTGTCCAACTTAAGACACAAATTCTGTTCTGTTCTAAAGCATTCTAATAATCTGTTTTAGAAAACAAGAGCATATGTCGTATGTCAACGCCCACTAATTATGAGTCAAACTGTCCTTCTCAAGACTCAGGTGTTTATAAGGTCTTCACTGGTACACAGTGTCAACTGACCCTGACGTACAACACTAAATATCTCCTTGCAAAGAAAAAAAGCCAGATAAAGGAGTGATTCATTAGCGAGACGGACACTTCTCTCTTTAGGACTTTCAGAGCTGCCCCTGCATTAGCCTGAACAATTTCCAGTGCAGCAAAGCTCCAAGTCCAGCTCTGTGAAGACCAACACAAACTCTTTGGTTTCGATACAGAGAGGTGAGCACTGACCTACATTGTGAATAACTCTCTCATTCAGATGTAACTTGATATAACTTCAGATATAACACATGCGCTCTGAGAGATGCCCTTTACACGGTCAGAAGACTCAGATGGCTCAGCCTCCACAAAACACACACACACACACACACACACATACACATACACACACACACTTACTTCGGTGCCTGATTGTTGTAGTTGTTGTCATATGAGTCGTATCCCTGGTCATCGTAGGCTGTTCCATATCCATCATCGTATTCCTATGGGAAACAAAATATATACTGTAAATATCCACAAACCATATTATACAATATAAAGTTTTTTTTAAATAACACGTTTTATGAACCCATGTTTTTAAACAAATCGACTGTCAAAGATTCAGTTCTTGTTTTATTCTTGAATGAATCAAATTGAATTGTAAATACACTTACAGCTTATCTTATAAATACAATTCAATGTTCCTGAATGAATCAGTGTTTTGAACGATTCATTTGTCTACATTATTCAAAGACTTACTTTTAAAGACAGGCCCTTTTTTAGTTACTGGATGAATCAGTGGTTCGGACAAATTGGTTGTCTGAAAGATTCAGTGACTCGCTCAAAAAGAGATTCACTTGTTTTGTTCACAAATTAATGACTGTCTTGAATGAAACAGTTGATTGAAAGATTCAAAGACTTACTCATAAAGAGAGTCACTTGTTTTGTTCATGAATTAATCTGTTTAGTTTAGTTTAGTTACTGGATAAATCAGTGCTTTGAATGAATCGGTTGATTTAAAGATTCAATGACTCACTCAAAAAGATAATCATTTGTTTTGTTCACGTATGAACTACTGTTTTGAGCAAATCAGCTGATTGAAAGATTTAAAGACTCACTCATGAAGACAGCAGCTTGTTTAGTTACTGGATAAATCAATGTTTTGAACGAATCAGTTGAGCAAATAATTTGAATAACTCATTCAGAAAGACAGTCACTTGTGCTCTTGGTGCAACAATGCAGTTTGTAGAAAGATATATCTTTATTTTCATTGCACAGAAAGAATGTGATATTATATATAATAAAATTATTTCTGTTCAATGAACATATCTTACTTGATATGAAAGGAGTTAAAAGCATGTACAATGCAGGAGTCTGGAGTGATGGACAGTCTCCACAGGACATACTGCATTTCATCAGGGTCAAGAGATCCACTCTAATGATGAAGCATTTCGAGTCATCCTGAATCCACACACACTCCCAAACTCTGCTTAGAGGTTAATCTACTCGGCTGAACCCTGGCCGACATTAATACTCCATATATCTAGAGCAGAAATAGCAAAGAGCTGTGCATGAAAACTGAAAAGCAGCTCTTGACTTAAATGAAAGGGTGTGAAAGTGCTTCATTAAGTCGAGGGCTGATATGATTTTGACACTGTAATTAACATCGCATAATAACCCTTTAAAAGTGGATAATGAAACTTCATGGGGGTTAATATCTAATGTAGCTATTATTGTGACATATCACAGATTGCTTTATGACATGCGTAGCTTTGTGGCCTTTTGGTTCGTAAAGCCCAGTGATATGTTTATGAAGACTCGCGTATGAAATGTCAGCAGAGGTCAGAAAATCAAGCTGGAACTTTTTAGAAATTGATTTTTATGTAGGCCAACATGGACTTTACACTGCTTTTTTCACATTTTCTGTGCTGATTGTTGGGGAGAACTTGCTGAATTTATTTAAATATGGTAAAATGTGCTAAACGGAGCTGATCATTAGTGTTTAATTAGACTATCATACATAATTAAAGGTGGGGTAAGATTTCTAGTAGCCAATGCTGACATTTGAAATCACCAAAACAAACACGCCCCTACCCCAAAAGGGTCTCACCCCTATTTTGATAGCTCTGCCCCACACATACGTACGCAACCCAGGCAACGAATAGTTCTGTGAAACAAAGCAAAACCAATGTTACACCGTGTCTACACCAGACGCGAGTGGCACGGCGCGACAAAATACTATAGAACTCATTATATACAGTATATATATATATATACATATCTATGGTCTACACTGGATGCGGAGCGGCATGACACGACAAATCCCCGACTGAAAACTGCTGCTGTGTTCGATTTATGACATATTGACACAAATTTCAAATGATTTTCAACGGTCGCTTTGTCGCGTCCAGTGTACTAGACAGACTTTAGCTGTTGCGGCGCAGACACGATGTTACTCACCTATCGAGAGGCAACAAAGCAACCTCGGCGTCCAATCGCAGGCCTTCCGCTCCTTGAGTTCTCTCCAGCGCTGGAAAGCTGATTCGATATTTACACGGGTCCTACTTCTTGCCTTAAGCCTTTGTTTGTTCCGCAGACGTTTTCCTCTTTTGTTTTTTATCTGCCATCTCTATCTTTCTGTCGCTCAGCTCAGCTAATGTCCGTCCCGTGCACTGAACTCTCTCTCCTCCAGATCATGAGTAGACACGCCCCTTACTGCTGATTGGCTACAAGTTTGTTTTGCTATTCGGCCCGAATCAGTTTTCTAAAGCGTTTTTGAAAAATTGCTTACCCCACCTTTAAGCTTAATGGCAAGGTCATGTAAATGCCTTAAACAGTGTGGCTTTATCAGACCAGGGTAATAAACAATTAGAAATCAACATGGAATTAAACTTGACCCTAATTACTTGTGTCTTAAGTACTATGTCTTAAAAGTTTGGGGTTGTTTTTACATGTTTTTGAAATAAGTCTCTTTCAAGGCTACATTTATTTGATAAAAAATACAGTAAAAACAGCAATATTATGAAATATTACAATTTCAAATAATGGTTTTCTATTTGAGTATATTTTGAAATGTAATTTATTCCTGTGATGCAAAGCTGAATTTTCTGCATCATTACACCAGTCTTCAGTGTCACATGATCCTTCAGAAATCATTCTAATATGCTGATTTGCTGCTCAAGAAATATGTCTTATTATTATCAATATTGAAAACAGCTGTGCTGCTTAATATGTTTTTGTGAAAACCATGATACATTTTTCCAGGATTATTTGATGAATACAAAGTTCAAAAGAACATAATTTATTTAAATGTTGACTGTAAGCAAAACTCAACACACCTACGCTGTCAAATGATCTCAAATATTCTCACAGAAGTCAAACATCAAGGCCTAGTTCTCCTTTCCTGTTCTCCTACTAATTTAGGATAAACGTCCTCCACTAAAAGGCTCCGACCCCTCGTGACTGCTCCAACATATCCAGCTCAGTTCCAAATCCATCTGCCCTCAATTCACATTTGTAAAATCCTCCTCAACTATGAAAACAAAGATGGAAAACCCTCTCATCACAGACCCCGCAGTCTTGGAGCGGCATTACTGTCCGATCAGAGGCATTTCATTTTTAATCCACAAGCAAAGTGACATTTAAACAGAGTTCTATAATTAAGTTCACTTGAATTTTTTTTTTTAAACAGACAAAGAGAGAAGTTTTGCTGCTGATGTCGTTAATGTTGGTAAAAAATAATAAATAAATAAATTGGAAAAAATGTATTTAGGCACACACTTTCTAATCAAATGCAGCGTATAACTAAATGTACCTTAAAAGTTGTGTATGTGTATGCATTCCCTGGAAATTAAACCCGTGACCCTGTCGTTGCGAGCACTATGCAACATCACCATGCAACACCATGCAACATTGCACAATCTCTAATTCTTTTGTTTTGTGCCATAAAATGAAAACCAAAATGTTTTGGTTTAGCCAATTCGGGAGCTAATTCACATGAATTTATAATGCACTTGCACTTCAGTGATGGTTATGTTTAGAGCTGGACATTCATGTTTTTTTTTAATAAATCTAAATTTTCACATTGTACAAAATCACACAAAATTGTCACCTTGTAAATTAGTTTTCCCATAAGATCAGGAAAATTCATGAAATCGCAGTTTGATGAATCCTACTCCAAAGTCCTTCCGAAAATAATTATATCCATATTTCTGTAAAGTTTCTAGATTTTGATAGCAGTAAAACGTTTTGAAGAAAACCTTTTAATATATAAAAAAAACATTTAAAAATAAATTGACATGGAGGCACTGGCATGATCACTGGCATTTTTTACCTGATAACAGTAGAAACAACTTAAAATACACCATCATTTTTGCTCATGCAGATAGGAGTAAGACATCATTCGAGACTTAGAGGGGCTACTTTTATTTGTGTATGCTCACAATATCAACAAAATGTTGTGCTTTTGTAAAACAAAGAAAACAAACAGGGTATGCTTTCTGCCGTCTCAGTCTCTGTGAACTTCTTGCTGATATGTGTCACAAAAATTACCCGAAACTCAGGCAATACTTGACTCACAGACATGAGAAATATGTCTATAAAAACCTTGAAATGTTTACTTTTAAGCAAACCAATTCAAATAAAAAACAAATGCTATATAAATACTATAATATATATAT